TCCAATCTCACAAAGATGATGAATCAATGATGAAGATGAGTGGAAGGGCTTTGCCTAAGCTCACAAGGTTGCTATGTCAATGCAAATGGCCAAGAGAGTGAGCTTGAACTGGCCATGGGGCTTAAATAGTAGCCCCTACGAAATAGAGCCGTTGTACCTCTTCACTGGGTAAAACGCGGGGTGACCGGACGTTCCGGTTATACTGACCGGACCCTGGACCCAGCGTCCGGTCGCTCGATGTCAGCCACGTGTCACAATGCGTTCAATAGGAGTCGTCTGATCTCAACGGTCATCTGTTGACCGGACGCTCCGCTACAACTGACCGGACTCTGAGCCTCTAGCGTCCGATCGTTTCTAGTAAGGTTCCATAAACGCATTTCTTCGACCGGACGCGTTCGGTCATGCTTGACCGGACCCTACTAGCGTCCGATCACACTATGACTTCTTACTGTGCCGTCCGACAACACGACCGGACCCAGACCCTTAGCGTCCGATCTGTCCATGACCCAGCGTCCGGTCATTCACCGACGCTGGCGTCTTCACTGCCATACATGGCCAGACGCGTCGGTCCCCCAGAGGTCCAGCGTCCGGTCACTGTATAGCCAGCGACACTAACTCATTTTTACTTCTATCTTCTTCACCCTTGCTTAAATGTGCCAACCACCAAGTGTATCACCTTGTGCACATGTGTTAACATATTTTCATAAACATTTTCAAGGGTGTTAGCATGTCACTAGATCCTAAATGCATATGCAATGAATTAGAGCATCTAGTGGTACTTTAATAACCGCATTCTGATACGAGTTTCACCCCTCTTAATAGTACGGCTATCAAACCTAAATGTGATCACACTCTCTAAGTGTCTTGATCACCAAAACAAAATAGCTCCTATGGTTTATACCTTTGCCTTGAGCTTTTTGTTTTTCTCTTTCTTCTTTCCAAGTCCGAGCACTTGATCATCATCATGGCATCATCTTCATCATGCAATGATCTTCCTTTACTTCACCACTTGGAGTGTGCTACGTATCTCATGATCACTTGATAAACTAGGTTAGCACTTAGAGTTTCATCAATTCACCAAAACCAAACTAGGGCTTTCAGACGCACACTCCCCTCGCTACTACTGTGTGCCACATCTACCGCCGCTTGCTTATGCCCCCTCGCGCACGCCACCCCGCTCCCTCCTGCCACGTGTGCTGGTGCTGGTGCTGTGGCTGTGGTGCTCGCTCCGCCCGTCTCTCGTGCCGCTCGCCTAGCTGACCGATGCCCGGCAATGGTGCTCACGTGCGCCGCTGGTGTTTGATGCCAGTGGTGCTCGTGCGCCATCACTCACTGTCGTCTCCCACCCCTACGCCCGGAATTGACCGGCACAGGCGCTCCCCCTCCACTATTTTGCAAATACATGTTTCAAGTGTTTCAGAGGTATGTTGCAGTTGCTTTATATGGATGTTGCAAAGTAGATCGGGGATGATGCAATTGTTGCATGTGTTGCAAGTGTTTCAAGACATGTTGCAAGTGTTTGTTCAAAATATTTCATCTGTGCCAGACATATGTTGCAAGCATTTTGATCTGGATGTTGCACATGTTTCACACACATGTTGCCACACTATGTTCCAAATATTTCATCCGTTCCAGTCTTCCGTTGCAGCAAGTGTTTTCATGTTGCAAGTTGCAAGTGTGTATTCTAGATGTTTCATCTGTTTTAGACATATATTGCATTCAAGTGTTTCATGTTGCACATGTTTCTTGCTGTTCCGAGAGTCGGGGGCGTGGGGGAGTGATGGTGGCATGGCACGGCCGTGGGGGAATGGGGCGTGGTGAGCCGGTGGACGTGGCGCGCGGTGTGCTGGGGGCTGACGGTCGGGGGCACGACGGGGCAGGGTGGGCGGGGTGCGCCTGTGGGGCAGGACGAATGGATGGGGGTGAGTCGAGTCGGGGTGGACGGGGCGGATTGCGAGCGAGTCGTACAGACGCGACGACGGCGCAATGGGCATGTGGGACGAATTAGCGGACGGGGGCATGCTCGCGGGAAATGGCCGTCGGACGGACTCGTCGGACGTCCGGGCGCCAGCACGCCTCTTAAAGATAAAGGAAAAAAAAAGAAAACTAACCTATCAGATTCATCCGCCGCACATAAGGTGGCGGGCCAACAGGCCACAGCCGATCCGGCGATCCCGAAGGCTGTGATAGTGCGACTCATCGGTTTTGCGGCGTCCGGCCTGCTTCCCCTGCCGGCCTGCGCCGCCTACGGCTTGCCCCGGCGCCCCGCTGCAGTCAGCAAAATCTCCGCCGAAAATCGAGAAAATCGTTTCTCTCGGTCAGGCCCGGTAAAAGGCCATACCGGCCTTTCAATCTCGGCCTTTTTCAAATTCCTTTTTTCCCAACATGATCCATGTGGCCCAGTAGTTCATCCCCAGCCATACAAAAAATTTAAAAAAAACAAAAAAACAAAACAAAACCACCAAACTGACTGCAAATTTATTTCTCTCTCCTCTGCTCTGCTCAGCCGCCGCATGCTGCCTCCCTTCCCAGGTCCTCTGCTCTCCCTCCCGCCGCGCGTGCCCACCTCGCTTCCTTGCTCCTACGCTCTCGATTTGATGTTGCTTCCGTGGTCGCGCAAGCAGCTGCTGGCTGGCCTTGGTCATGCTGCCTTCATCTCTGGATTAATGGTCACACAAGAGGAGCCGTTGCGGACGGTGCTGCTGGAGGAAGGCACAGCGACTGGAAATGGAGGCAGCAGTGCAGGTATTGAGGTACAGGTACAGGTTAGTGCAGCATCAGTAATGCTTATGCCTGATGGTCGGCGACAGGGTTCTACATCGCACATTCAGATTTTGTTGTTTAATTAGTCGTGTATGTGCAAACTGCAAAACGACGCTTTGGGAGGATGCATGTTGTAGACTTGTAGCGATTTTTCCTGGGACATTGTATAGGCTTTACAAACTGAGGAATAAGGAGTCCTTTTTAATATCCGGCTTACTTAAAATATTCTATGTACTATTGAAAACTTGTGTTAACTCTGAATCGATCAAGAAAAAGGTTAGAGCGTTTTTTTTTTCTGTTAATGCGCAAAATTTCGTCCGATTTTCGCCTATTCTTGCTCATAAATTTCGCTTCTTTCGCCAAATTTCGGATAAGTTTAGGTGTGTCGGTTTGAATTGGTTTGACACATTTTTGTACCAAGAAATCCCGAAATTGGCGAAAATCGTGACAATCGCTTCTACAGCTGAGCAATCTCCTATCTCGTTTCTGTTGTCTTCTTGACTGTCTTACATTGCCCTTCACCGTGACCGTCTGCGGTCTGTCCTCTCTTTTTTATAAATTTAGTTAAAGTTATTATGATTTGACTTAGAACAAAACTAGCTAGATTCCTTACTCTATTTCAGAACGGAGGGAATTATGTTGGAGAAGCCCAAACCTTGTCAAAGGATCGTAATCATGTTTACTGGTTTCAAATTTCTTATATTCTGGAAATCAATCTATTAAATAAATAATTTATTGTGTGCCTGTGATCCTTGTACTGTGAATGACACACGAGTCGAGAATTGCAGCTTGTTCGCTTGCTCGTAAATGATCGTAAATTTTCAGCCAGGAACAGTGTTTTTCTCTCACACCAAACCAGCCAACAGTAAATAATCCACAATACGATACGGCCTCCCGAACAGACTGTTGGAATCTGGATCCACAGTTTTATAAACATATAAAAGAAACTAATGAATGAATTGAGTTGTGACTTCTGAGTTCGACGACGACTTTAGCGACGCGAGGTCCGCAAGCAATGCTTACGGCGTTTGGACATGTATATGTATGTATATTACATGGAATCCTATGAAAAACACGATACTATGTCCTTTCTTTACTAGTATATATATCGAATCAATCGGCCATATACTCATACCTACCAGTTGTTGGAGTAACATATAACCACCCGTGTATGTGACGGTGGCCAAATAACATTATCACCGAGGCATCTAATCGTAACCTATCTGTATCTATCTATAATATTTATTTTTAATGGCGCATGACTCACGCTCGCGTTGAATATAAATAAAGAAGACAGGGGGAGGCTAGGCCAGACAAGCTCCGTCTCCGTTTCCGTCCCTCCCTGCCCTGGTGACCTTGTTTTGCTCCATCAGAGTCTGGGTTTTAATTTGGAAGTGCATCGGAGCCACACGAAGGTCCAAGCAGCAGACAGCAGGTTAGTACAGATATGCTAGCTACTACTACTACATACAGTAGCAGGAAGCAATAGGGGTTATATATCTGTGGTATAGTAGCTGATCATCAGCATAGTAATTAACTAATTACCTTGCTTGAGAGATACTTGTACACTTATGAGACGATAGGGGTCAATGTGATAATCGCTTCTTGATTTTCAGTTGTATATGGTTATTACTACCTTTCATCTAGGAGTAATTCATTTACCCCTATATTTGAGTGCATTAACAGTGTCCATGGTGCCACTCTTTATTCTCTAAATGCTTATTAACAGAGAACAATTTCCATGCGACAAGTATAAACACTTGGATGAAGCAGTACCGTAGTAGTTTAAAATGTTGATTTTTTTTTTTTTTTTTGGCGAAATGTTGAAGTTTGATTTCAGACGTTCTGTTTTGGACCACTCTTACAATGAAGAGCTACTACCTCTGTTTGAGGTTCTTTAAAATGTACCTTCTCCTTTTGTAGCAGATTGAAGGCTCTACAGCTACCACTATGCCTCAAATGGACAAAGATCTGCTGCAAGCTGCCATGTCTGGTTACTCAAGAAAGGCCTTGATGTTCTGCTTGGAACAACTCCACAGGCGGGCAACACCTGCCTCCACATCGCCTGCAATGCTGTTCTGGGCAAAAATGGGTCTCTTATCGCCTTTCATCAACAAAGATGGCGAGACACCACTGCTCGCCGCCATTACAAGGGGCCATGCCTCTTTAGCTTCAAATTTTCTAGATTTCTGCCTTAACCATGAGCATAGGGATGTCTTGTGCCAAGACAAGCATGGATGCAACGCTCTCCACCACGCCATCCGCAGCGATCACAGGGAGCTCGCGATGGAGCTATTAAGGGCGGTGCCCGGGCTGTGAACAGCATCAATGAGTCGCCCATGTTCATCTCGGTGATGAGAGACTATGAAGATATTACCAAGGTACTGTTGGAAATTGAAGATTCTGCTCATGGAGGAACCTTTGGCTTCAATGCTCTGCATGCTGCCGTAAGAAATGGCAATTCAGGTGAGACATACAATAGAAAGATACTAGAAATTGGAGTTAGGAATTTCATACTGCCTTCACAACTATAGATTTTCTATCATGGTCATTATCTACTACTGTATTATTGTTTTAAGATCTTACGAATGGAACAAAAATAATCCAAAAATCTTGATTTCATGGCCGGTTTGCCAACAGTTAATTTGGGATGCCTTCATTTGTTTTACAGGTATCGCTAAGATGAGCGTCCTGACCTGTCCACGGAAGAAAATGGCTATAGAAATACTGCAGTGGAGCAGGCTGTGTTCTTGAATAAGATTGACGTGTTAAAAGTATTATTGGAACATGATTGGTCTTCAGGGTATTCTGTCTCTACAAGTGGTAGTAGCCCTCTTCTTGTTTCTGCTGCACAAAGAGGTCATGTTGGTGTTGCACGAGAGCTTCTTAAGCATTGTCCAGATGCTCCCTATTCTGATACAAATGGTTGGACATGTCTCCACGAAGCTGTAAACTCAGGTCACACAGAGTTCGTAGAATTTGTCATGGGGTCACAACAACTCCGTAATAAGCTCGTTAATATGCGAGATGCGGAGGGGAAAACTGCTCTGCATTATGCAGTCAAAAAATGCAATCCAAGAATTATTCAATCATTACTTCTGAACCACACAACGACAGACTTCACCATGATTTCCAGTGATGGAAGGGAGGCAAGTTCGGGGTTGTTGACTGAGAAGGAACCACCCAATAAGATTTCAGACTGGGTACGTTTGCTTTCCATACGTTGATCCATTGAAACTCATAAGGCATAGTAGAGATATTAGACTGTACAGTCCTACTGTCGAAATCCCATCAGTAATGCTCTCTGGACTTCTAGCCTATATACAAATAATCATTTATTTAGTAATGGTCAATAAATCTTTCTCATGATCTCCTTTAAAATTGGTTACTAATTGATGTATTTGTATAAATTTCATCTGCCAAGTCTAGAAATAAATGATTATTTGTACCATTTAAAATTGTTTATCACGAGAAATGTTTTGAAATAGCATGGGTAATATTTCTAATTTGTAAACATCAAATTTCTACAATACTTGGGAACACGTCTTAATCTGACATTTAAATAAAAATGGTCTCCTCTAATCCAAGGAAAGAGAATAGAAATATAAGAAATATGCAATACAAATTTCGCATTTATAGTATCATCTTTTTTTTCAATTTTTTGCATATTTATTATATTGCCATGTCACATGCTCTTTTTTAGAACATAATTACATCGTTACTTGGAGATTACATTTTAGAAAGAATAGAAAGGTGCACCCTTACAAATTCTTTAAAAAATACTTGTTTCTGTAAGTAGTACCTGATTGAGCTTAATTTGTGCCATTCTTGTACTTGATGCAGAACGAAGTTTCCATGCTTCTGTTGCAAAAAGATCCCAACAACGCAAGCTTTGTTTATTACATTCATAAGTGTGTCAAGGATATGGTAACTAATGCGTCAAGTAAGGCTTTCAAGTCCCTGACCCAGACACTCATAGGCAACACCTTTTTAGCGGCGATACTTGTTGCAACAATTACCTTCGCCGCTGCTTTTACATTGCCCGGAGGATACAACAGCGAAGGGCTTCCCACCATGGCAAGAAAGGCTGCATTTCAAGCATTCTTGTTCTCTGATACCTTAGCAATGTGCTCGTCACTTGCTGTTGCCTTCATATGCATCATTGCAAGATGGGAGGATATTGGGTTCTTGCTTTACTACAGATCATTTACAAAGAAACTCATGTGGCTTTCATACATGGCGACCACCACGGCATTTGCAACAGGTTTATACACAGTTCTAGCCCCTCGTCTCCTGTGGCTGGCGATTGCAGTTTGCACTTTGCCAGTTTTATTGCCCATTTTTACTAAGCTGCTTGATGAGCTTCCTTTTCTGAGCCTCCGACTTCGACTAGGTCGGACTTTCAAATCTGAACTCCTTGATATCGTCTAACATTCACACTCTGTATTTGTTCTTTCTGGTTACCTATGGTCTCTGTATGTCATTAGACGACAATGGTATTTCAGTAATTTTGAATTCCATGTATTTGTTCTTTCTGGCTACCTATGGTCTCAGTATGTCATTAGACGACAATGGTATTTCAGTAGTTTTGAATTCCATGTAAGATAACAACCATGTAATGTGAATGCTGGTTGTATAATGTGAACTAGTTGTTGATTAGTTTTTTTCTTTACAATCTTGATGAACATGTTTTTTCATGAGGAAAACAAAGTTACAACACGCGATCCTTGAAGACAGACATGATTCTTGCAAGATGGGTCTCACAAGGATCACCAACAAAGTTCAATAACAGTTAATTACATTGAAAACAATTCCTAAGCAACAGCAGGAGATCCAAAGCAACACGATTAGGCATTAGCAACTGGAAAGAACAAACCTAAGCAACAGAGACCTCCACAAAGCCCACCATTTGAAGCGAACTCAAAGAATGCAACAGTCACATCCTCATAACCATGGTGCTTCGTGGCCATTCGATGATGACACGACCTTATCCCGAAGCACCACTTCTTGCAATCCTTCTTTGCCACGCCAATGGAGACCTAGAGTCAGGTTCCACACACACACACACACACACCAGGAGATCCTTCAACCTCATGTGAGGCTCCAACAACAGTGACCGGCAACTATGAAAGGGCCAAACGATTGGGTTGGATCCCATGGCTCTCCATGCCTGGTATGCTGGTCACACGTAACCGAGTAAGTAGCCTGGTAATGCTAAAAGAACAAGACACATATATCATACAAATAATTGGTATATCATTTCCCCAAACTTACGAAAACATAACAGTACACGAATAGCAAGTGTAAAATGTACAAATCGAGCTAGCAGTTTGCAATTATTTGTAATATAGATCGAAGTTAAATACAATCAGGGCAGAGCCATTCACATTTTTGCAGGACACTTCCACATGGTATTGTTACATCGAACTTGTCAGGCAGTAGTAGCATCAGCAGGTGCTGCGGCAGATTCACTTGTCACGGGCTCAGCCTCCCAGAACTCAGTCTTCTTGCCCGTCTTGGAAACAGTTTGCAGAACAGCGTCAGGTGTTACATTGCCCTTCACTGTGACCTTCTGCTCCTTGATGTCTACATCGAAAGATTCAACACCTGAAGCAACCACAACACCGATGCATACGTCACTCACTCGGATACTGTAAAGTACAGCAATAAATCAAAACACTTTGAGGATTTTCAGCCAACTAAATCCTTAGGAACAGATATAAGTATATTTAAGTGACACAGGTATATAAGTATATTTTATAAGTGAGGGCCATTTGGCAGGGATAACAGATTTATTTTCTGGTTCCCAGTATCTACTAGAATCTAAGAAAAGTTTCTACATCTCAATCCCTGAAACATTTAGTAGTGGTTCTCCTGTTTGTGGATCTGGAGAGAGAGTTTGGAGAATCCATGCCAGACGTACCCTAATATGCTCAGAGCAAATTGCAAAAAGGCTCAATCTAGCAATCTACCTCCACTTAAGTTGACAATTTAAGACTAGTGTCCAAGCAGTTCAAAGCAAATTTGTAAAAAGGCTCAATCAAGTAATCTACTTCCACTTAAGTTGATTTAAGACAAGCATTCAAGAAATTGCTTTACAAGTTAGACAAATACCACTCAGGATGTTGTATGTCACATAAACAAAGATCATAAATTTAGAGGACTAGCCAGCAGGGGGGGACTTCAAATTTGATAGTTTTGGAACTTAAAGAATGAATTTCTCTACAAACCATTCTCTGAAGGGTTATGCAATTCGATTACAATCCTATCCAGCATCCATAACATCCTACCAAAATCTCTAGTGCATTTCGAGCTCATTCGGTTTCCTATTTATCTGTTGCGGTTTTTCAAATACCATACATGCCGTGAATATTACTTGTTTCAACTGTGGAAATTAAAGTTGCTACTCAAATATTTCATGCTCACAAAATGAAACTGCAGATAGTAAAACATGCCTTACAACTAGCTGTTTTCTTCTTTGAAACAAGCACCTTGAGAGAAATAAAAAAGGCATGATATCTTCTAACCACTGGTTAAAGGCAAATTAACTTAATTAATCAACCCAAATCGAGAAAAACGGAAAAGCATGCCTAATGCTCTGAAAATTCTGTAGGTCATTATATTGTGCCAGATTCTCGTCCAGCACAAGTATCAAAGCATGGCCATGGTTTGGTAACATTCAATTAAAGTTTAGGACAAGGCATCCTATTCCAGTTACAAATCGCCACTAGCTGATAGAAAGAAAATACAAATATTAAGCAAGAGTGACAAATCAGCCTTCACAGACCCGAAAACCTCAATCTAGTAATCTACGTCCACTTAAGTTCGTGATTTAAGACTAGTATCCAAGTGATTGCCTTACAAGTTAATAGTTGACCAATAACATGTCTGGATGCTGTACTAACATGATTCAAATACATGTCACATAAAGAGAAGTGGTAAATTTAGAGTAGCCAGCAGGAGAAAATTAAAAATTTACTCAGAACATGGAGAGTGAATTTCTCCACAGAGCATTCTGTGAAGAGAGGATTGTGCTATTTGATTGCAATCCTACGCATAACATCCTAGTAAAACTTTCTGGTGCATTTCAGGGTCATTTGATTTCTTACTTATCTGCTGCAGTCTTCCTAGTAACATAGAAGTCTTGTTTCAATTGTGGAAAGTTGCTACTCATCAAATATGGTATGCTGACAAAGAAAAAAGAAATCATAGATAGTAGACCATGCCTAGAAACTAGCTGTTTTCTATTCTGTGAGAACTTTGAGACAAACAAAGCAGCCTGCTATCTTGTTAAGCTTTGTTGCGGTTAATGGCAGAATTAATGAATCAACCAATATCTTGGTAACTAGTTATATAACAAAGACAATTTGGAAAAGCATGCAACTGCTCCAGAATCTCCGTAGACCATCATGCCAGATTCTCATTCAGCACTGGTTGCAAAGCATGGCCAAGTTTTGCTAACTAACACTCAATTAGAGTTGAGGGTAAGGCAGACATACAAATTGCTAATAGCTGATATAAGGATGAGGAAACACAAAGATTAAGCAAGAGTGAGAAACCAACCTTCCATCTTTCCCAGAACCCGCTTAACAGCTCCAACGCAGCCTTGGCAGGACATGCCAACCTTGAGTACGACAGTCTGCACACATCCAGGGTGGAAAAAAAGATGTAGGAATCAGTTGGCAGTCAGACTAATTCTACTTTTCATCACTGAATGAACGAGGAAATTAAAGCATTGGTGTGCTTCTCCAGATTCCATACACTTCATAGCTCCAGCAATTCGTATGGTTGAAGCTTTACCAACGCTACTACTAAATGCATACACTTCCCAGTTTAACAATTTTGCCAACCCTTTATATTTCCTTATACTAAAAAACACCTTTATTTATGCAAAGAACAACACTAAGTACATATAACCAGTAGTCCAGTACTCTGGCTATACAACATAGCTTTTGCTTAAAAAAAAGGCCGCAACAACCTATAATTTGGAACAGAGGTAATACGTCATCATCTCATATAACCGTATAGCATGTGTACTGGCTCTGGCATGGCCTCATAGTAGTATACTAGTGATAGGACTTGATGCCCTACCGGAGTTGCTGCATAGGTTATAGGGGTGGAAGAGCGGAGGGCGAGGCTTAGGGAAACGACGGCGGGTTGGCGCCGTGGTGCTCACGGCGCAAGGAGGAAGAGGAGGTGCGGCTAGGGCTCCCAAGGGAAGCCGGCAACAAATATGTTGCTTCTGCTTAATTCCAAGCTCAATTGTTTACAGAGTCTTTATCCTCTCTAGGATCCTATAATTAAGGAATAAATACCATAAATAGCAAATACTAATAATATGGGCCCTTAGCCCCTATAGCCGGCGTCCTCCTCTAGCCACTAATGGACCTGCGCCTATTATAATAGGTGCCGGTCATAACAACTAGACGGTGGATGAATCTGCTGTAATAATTCTCAACGAGCATATATAAACAAATTAGCAACATACAATCAATCGTCTTTGAGAGATAATAACTGCATAAAGTCCCCCACACATGCAGCATACAGTAGCCTGAGACTCAAAACTAAACTGTTGACTTGACAGGGTCGAGGGAGAAGATCGATGGATGCAAGGGCACGCAGCAGGCCTAAACGACCCTACCTTAGATCTACGCGCACGTCGGAACACTAATCGGCATCATCCATCCCCTGGGGCCTGAACGGTCTCGCACCTGATGACCTACTGATTCGCAAGCGAAACGGCCGTGGATGCGCCGCGCTCGAAAGAAATCATCGAATACTCCAAAAATCTAGTACCAATCATCTCCGATTAGAGCGGAAGGGGGGGCATTTACCTGGGCCATAGCAGCGCGAGCGGGGAGCAGGCAAGCTCGGGGGTGAATTCTCCTGAGGCCGAGAGCGAGCGCAGGGAGGAGGAGGAGGACGGCTGGACGGGGGAACGCGGGGGATCTGTGGGGCGGACGGAGTTGGGGGCGGTTCCGGGGGAGAGAAATACAGGCGCCGGCGGTGCGGTGGAGTTGGAGTTGGCAGCGCAATGACGCAAACGCGGACGCAAGGGAACTCCCCTTCTTCTTGTGACCAGAAGCAGCCTAGCCTCCCGTCACTGACAGGTGGGGCGTCCAGTGGTGGGGTCGACGGAAACAGCCACGTGCCCGAACCGAGGTCGGGTACATTTGATTTGCTTCTCCGTCTTGCGTGTATCGCACGCAGTCGTGTCCACGACCACGACCACGACCAACCTCTTTCATGTCCGTGCCCGTGGCGGTGGCAACGGACGGCGACTAGTAGCCTAGCGGTGACAAGTGAGAACACAACCATCCGAGGAGAGGGAGAGGGACTCTTTCTATTTTTTTTTCATTTCCATACTGTTTAAATTTGGATTGTTGTGAGTCAGACTATAATTATATTATTATCTCACACCTCGTAGTTAACCTTAATGGTGGTGAGAGGTGTCTAGGTTCATTGAACCAAAGTTCATCTTTCTCTTTTACCGCCGCCGTTGCCCTCGCCGCCTTGGTTACCTCGCCCCCGCCTTTGACCATGCGCGTCGCCCCTCCTACCGCCGCTGGCCAATACCTCGATAGGTGCCCTCCCGACGAATGTTGGACCACCCTACCCCCATATGGCTCCTAATTCGGTAGCTCTAAACTCCTTCCCCAACGATGACAACAGAAGCGACATACATATGCCACCGTGGCAATGACTTGCTAGCCAGCTCGGAAAGGAAGGGAAGGGAATGGAGGAGAGATTTGGGAACAGAGAAGGACAGGGAAAGAAGAAGATGCTAATGCCACCATTAAATCTAGATCGAATAGTATCAGGTGGGTTCTCTAGTTAGGCTTCAAAGAATAGGCCTCGATCTCTAAATAGCTTTTACTAATTAGATTAGATTATAGAGTGTGGTGATTTGGACCATTGGATCCTTAATTGTGGGCGCAAGCAATTGTCAGTGCGACTATACTCTCGTATTAACAAGTTTGAGATGAATTATGCTATTATAATAATCTATTTGCTTGAAATATTATAATTAATTCAATCTATAATCTAATTGGTATTTCTCGTTCATCTAGATTAAGTTTATCTGGTCACTACAATTTAAAGGTAATAAGGTTATCTGGTTACTGTATCTCGAATGTATTAAGATAGTCTAAACAAGCCCTAACTAAGATTTTAATGTGCTACATGCCTATCACCCTGTTCGCTGGTTGGTGCTGGTGCTGATTTGGGCTGACTGGTGCTGGTTTTTTGTGAGAGAAAAATACTGTTGACTGGTTGAATAAGCCTGACTGAAATCAACGAGCGAACAGGGTATATGAAGGTTTACAAGGTCGAGGAAGGAGTTGTATGATACGAGTACACATTTTGGGGGTAATGAAACGGAGCTAGTAGCATAATAGTCCAGGGAGATAAATAAAGAGACTTTTTCTAGGGCAATTCTGGCAACTAACCTTTGCAGCAATCCCATGACACATGCATGCTGATTACTTCAAACCGGCCAGAGAAAAGTACAGACTGGACAGGTGAGCAGTCAGATCAGATGATAAAATAAAACATAACTGAAGATTGTGCGACCATCATGCGTGTTAGCTAGCTTTCACAGCGAAAGTCAACGTCCAGCAATCGTGCCCTTTCAGAAACACAGACAAGCATGCATCATCTGAGTGACTGGATTTATAAACAATCTGTAGTTAGCTTGCGTGGATTGGACGACGCCGTCGTGTCGACGACAAACTCCACGATGCCGTGGCAACGGCGTGTAGGAGCCTATTGATGAATTTTGCATATGTTTTCCACTGACAGAGGCCTTTGTTTTCCCTATTCAATTTTCATTTACAGAAACAAAGACCTCACCATGCAAGACAATCAACCAAGATCTCCCTCGACTGTTCAGATACATGCCTGACTATTTGTGTACAACAATAAAACCCATCTTTCAGCATCAGCTACGATCATCAGCAAGTATTCTACACAAAACTGTACCTCGAATCTCACATCAACGGAGTGGCATAGTCATAGGCCCACATAGCTGTGTCCATTGCTGCAAGCCACACCTGGACTTCCAAAGTGACAACTTCCGATGGGGACAAATGCATTCTGATGTTCAGGTGTGGCTTGCAGCAATGCAGAGCCAGACAGGATCAGGCCTTGCGTGGCTGCAATCCCATGACAAATGCATTCTGATAAAATAAACATAACTGAAGGTTCTGCCATCATCATGCATGCTAGCTACCTTTCGCAGTTTGGCAGACAAGCATATAACGTCCAGAAATCATTTGCCCTTTCAAAACACATTCAGAAACACAGACAAGCATATAACGCCAGAAATCCAACTAGTTTGGCAGTTTCCATTGCTTTCCAACAGCTACCTCATTTGTATCAAAAGGACCAATTTACACCATTCCATGTATACTAACACATCTGTCGACAGTCGACATCACACCCGCTCCTAAAAGCGGGTGGCTTGATGCACAATTACAATGGCACAGAAACAAAAAGAACCTTTTTTTCTTACAAAGGGACAAGCTTACACAGTCACAGGCATATGCTAAGTAGGTACGAAGTATAGCTCGTTACTGGGGTCCTGCTGCTTCCACAAAATTAGCAACAACGCAGCGAAGACCATGGCACAGATAAATAGAGTTAATCGATTGCTTCGACGACAGTTTGTTTCTCTTTTCTCCCTCCCAGTCACCTTCTGATGTTCAGCAGCACCATCACATTGGCGTTCTTCACATGGAGGAGCCCGTGCACTATCAGAAAGCCTGCTGCTGGTGGGGAACTTCAAGTCTTCGGTCAGCAAGTCTCTGGTCTGTGTACGCAATTGGTTCCTCTGTTGAGTCGAGTTGCAGTAGCCTTTCCTTTCCTCACTTTGAAAATTCTTTTGAAACAAAAGATGGTCCGGGCGCTGCATCAACCTTGAAACTGATCTTGGAGGTAAGCGGTGGCCATCTCTTTCTGAATCACTGCAATAGGTCAAAGACTGGAGCTGCTTCCTTGGAGTTGACAAAGCTTGCCGCTTGCATGCCTGAGTTCAAAAAGAAAAGTGTGAAGAATTCACTTTAATCTACAAATGGTGCAGTATCGTGAAACTTCATTCTGCAAACAAAGTTCTGAAGAATGAGTATCACAGGACAGAAACATTCCGCATGCCTATAAAATTACCATACACGGATACACCAGTACACCACTCGAAGAATAGGAAGACAGTATTTAAAAGATAAACTGACAAGAAAAGGAAAATGTAAAAGATATCAGTTCCTTCTGCACCAAAAGTCAAAGTGATTGTTTCTGGTATCATTCAAGGAACAATGTAAACAGAAATAACATTCCAATTTCCAAAGGGCAGCAAATAGTAACTCATGCATCATGACCTTAATATAATAAGTATGTCAATCATACTAAAACTGCTCAATTTACATGATGATATGCCATATATACCTGATTAGTAGCTCGGGGTGTTAAACAAGTAGGACATGGATCACCAATTCTTGTCAACACATCGGAGCGCCTCCTACTTGACTTAACAAGATCAGCAGAATCAGATTGTGCTATGATACCCAGATTTTCATGATAATCACGTGCCGAAGTGTGGAAAAGCTCATCATTGGACACGCCATGTGAAAAGTCAGTTCCGTAACTCCAAAGTCGCCGCCTTGCACGTGTAGTTCCAAGAATACCAGTGCATTGTCCAACTGGCTGAGAATTGAAGTCACTAAAACAACGGACAGATTGTAACTCACGAGGAGATCCACTGTCTCTGATATTCGCATGATCAATTGGAGAATTTGACCCCTTCCTGCTGTTTCCACCACTACAGCTTCCCAAAGGACTGACATTTTCCGAGCTCCACGTTCCTCCTGCCTCCCAAGTAACTTAGCAGTCTCGGTTGCCTGAAAAGCTGCAGTGCAGATATCTGGAACAAAGCCATCTTGGCAGTGCTCCAAAGCATGGATAATGCTACTGATCTCAGAAGATATAATCCTCAGATTCAAGCTTCTCATGATCGAATGTATCATCTGAATTGATGACATAATCATCTGAGAATTGTTTGCCTTAGTGCTATGGTCCAATATCTGCAACCCCGACCTTATCAATGATCGTCCATAAGGCTCCAGTGTCAAAGGATTGTGTTTTAACAGAGCAACCACCAAGCCAACGTGGACAACAGTCTGGCAGTGAGCCTCCTCTAGAGCCCTGACACTTTCAAGCAGACATCATTGATCAACTCATTAGATGCAAATTGCCAATTGTTGGATTGGACAAGAGCAGCAATACAAAGAGCCGAACCAGAAGAGATGCTCTTGTTAGAGTTCATTAGGCAATCTGATAGGGGACGGCAAAGGGAGGTCATGATCTCAGATTTCTCTTCTTCTCTGCCCAGAGGATCAATGCAGTAGCGGGATATTGTGCAAACCACCTTGGAGCAACGAGCACTATGCAAGGGCCTTGAATCTGACGCCATGATCCTGACAATTGCTGGGACAATCTGTCCAATGTGCGGTACAATTGTGCGGCCATGAACTTCTGCTGCAGTCTCGAAAATGCATAGGATCTCCTCCTCAGAGTATGAGGAAGGCTTGTCGGGAGCACACAAACGGGCAAGAAACGGAGGAAGTGTCTTTGAATCCAGTTCTTTCACGTACAGCTTCAAGCCTCTGAAGGCGGGCTTCTTTTCAGTGGGATCCATCATAGAGACCTGCAGTTCTGCATATCCGTCCATTCCAAGAGTTGTAGCCATTGCATACACTGGATTCATTAAAGACACAAAATACAGGCTGTTAATAAAGGTAAACGCAGCATGTAGTTTTGGGGAGCGAGTAAATCGATCGGCACATATGGTTTCTTCAGTTAAAGCATACCAAAATGAAGGCATAAAACTTGTTCAGATTTGCTGCCCACTAACAATATAAACAAAGTATGCTTCTTCTATGTTCTATAACAAGAAGAAGAACACATAATGCCAATATTAAAAAAAAGAGGGTGACCAAGTAGTGACTGTTACAGAGGCCATGACAGTGACTTTAGGCATTCATTCAGAGGTTCAGAGCCAGAGTAATAATAATTAAGTAAAAAGCGAGATGATACTAATTTCTTTTCAAAAAGCAAAGATTTCGGTCCATCATTCAGAGAAACGGTACAACGAATTAATGCTTGCCAAACGTCATCGGAAGAACACCGCCCCTGGAGACTGGAGCATGGATAGCCCCAGAAACCTCATTCGAACCCGCCCAAGAATTCAAAGTAAACGGCACCCGCGCCATGAAAATGAAATCCACTGACACGCCAACCAAACCAGGAGCAATCCATCTTGCGCGCGCAAGCGAAGAAGAAAAAAAATGACCAATCGAGCCGAACAAGAAGCCAAGAACCGTGGACGCCGCGGATTCCATTTGCGCGCGCACCAACACGAAGCAAGGAGACCGCACCTGCCCCAGATCTCCCCTAGTCTAAGTGATCGAGAGAGAGAGAACCGTTCGGGTTGCAGTTCGAAGATCCCGCAGACCAAACCCCACGCTTTGGGGAACAACATCCGGCAGAGCAGAGCAGAGGAGGTTAGGGTTGTTTTGTTCCTTACCGACGATTCCCAGTGGATCCTCGAGGCCGGCGAAGCGGCAGAGGATGAGGAGAGGCACGCCGATGCCCGGCGAGCGAGGAGTTGTTGCGGCGGGGGATGGGGATGGGTCGCCGCTGCCGCTGCACTGGACGCTCCGGCTCCTGGGGGTTGGTGGGTGGGGGCGGGTCCGGCGGAAGAAGAGGCGGCGGTAGGAGGGGAGGGAGCGGCAGTTTGAGTTTTTCGATTCGATTCGAGGGGTCGTCTAGATGCTTTCCGCTTTGGAGTTTGGGCCCTTTCTGTTTCGGCCCAACGTGGAGAGGCGCGAGGCCCGATACGGTCAATAAGTTTTAGTATTTCCTTTTTCTTTCAACAATGCGGTGCTTATTTTGCTGTTGTGATCGGATGATTTGGATCAAAGTTGCTCGTGGACAGGTTCCAACAGGCCGAATCTTGGAAATTTTTCTAGGGTCCACGCATGAATATAGTTTTCCAAGATATTCAGCAACTCCAGCTAGAACCCATGAATCATCATCGTCTACTTTTAATTTGAGAGCTCCATTTATTCTTAAGGGTCTGAAATTTTCATATATTTCAGCAAGAGTCCAGAAATCAGGACCCTCAAATTCATTCTAATAGAATGGCACAAGTGACTCGCTCATCATTTCATTTCTTCTCTCTTCTGTCGATTGAGTTATGCCTCACGCGTTGGCTGGAGGCCGTGGAGTTGGGCAAGGGGAAAGAGGCGCGACGGAGTGGAGGCTAGGGAGTTGGGGAAGAAGGGGCCGGCACAACAGAGACGTGCCGAGGAGAGGTTGAGGGTCCCAACAGAGTCGCCACAGGGGAGTTTGGTGCCCAGTCACTAACTCCAAGCAATCGTGGAGGAGCCATCTAGGGAGGAGACCAGCCACCGTGGGAGGAGGTTGGAAGGAGGTCGGAGGGAGCCACTAAGAGGAGCCAAGGAGGAGTTCGGGAGAAGGCAGAGCCACGAGAAGGTGCCAGGCAGGTGGGGCATTAGGTGGCAACGTGTCGAGTAGTCGAGCTCGGTACACTAGTAGGAATATCCACTTCTATGATGATCAGTTTTCGTCACTGAATGAGCTAAATTCGTCATAATTTTAGTTTTATGATGAATTTATGACGAAAACCGGTTCGTCATAGAAGTCGCGTCACACTTAAAATTCTATGACGATTTTCGCAAATCGTCGTAGAAGTGGAGTGATCTGTGACGAAAACAGAACGTCATAGAACTATTTTGGCAAGCGTGGCAGGGGGGCTGGTGGGTGCTTCCATTGGAGATGCTTTCCACGTGTACATGCTATAGCCGGTTGCATTGGAGATGGTTCGGATACGTGTTACCTTCTTATTGCACAACGTAGCCATCTCTGGTTCTTGCACGTTTCAGATTCTTACTAGACCACGTGTCGTGTTCCTGTTGTTCCATATGTCAGTTTTCTATGGACATACGTGTCGTGTTGTGGTTGGATCACATGTCACTTCTTCATTGGATCATGTGGCATATTCTTATTGGTCCATGTGGTCGTTTCTTATTCGACCACGCGTCACGACACTGTCCATCCACATTTCGCATTTTTATTCGGCCACGTGGCTTGACGACATCCTTCCACGTGTCGGATTTTTAATAGCCCATGTGTCGTGCTCTGGCTATTTCACGTGTCATGCACTGGTTCATTCATGTGTCGTATTTTTATTTGATCACGTAGTCTGTTCTGGTTCTATCGCGTGGAGTACAATCAATTCATCATAGAAGTAATTTAAGATCGTCACTAATGCACATATTGAATACATAACAATTCAGCCTAGCAATCAAATAACTATAATTAACATTTCACACGTCAGTAGCGAACCACTGACAGAGTATCACAACATCAAACCATCACATGCGTCCACACAACAGACCACAAATGTTTACCATATCAAGCCGCAGGAGTTAATTACCAAGAGAGTTTAAGCGCAAGACTAGCTCACTGAGCCTATTGTACTCCTCCTGTTGCTGTTGCTTGAATTTCTCAAACTCTCTTTTCAGCCTTTTATGTCCTCACCTTCAATTTATCCACTAGTTCGACAAGCTTAGATGTACTTTCCTGTTCACCAGCAAGTTGCTCCCGAAGTGTCATCTCCACCGATGTCTCTGCTCTGGTGGAGCTTCTCAGGATACCAGCATTATTTGAAAAAAGGTTTTTGCTGCTTGTCTAGGAGGGGCGCTTGCCCTGGTAGAGGCAGAGAACCTTGGAAACGACATTAGCACTAGTCATTGGTTGCTGCCCATTAGTAATAGGTTCTGCTTGCATAGCTTCCATAGCTTATTATGAAATTCAATCAGTAAAACATTAGGTTACAGATAGTGGAAGAGGACTTCAACTGAAAACCCAAGAGATTTATTCATAACAAGTAATGCATAGGACTTCCTTAGACGACTGCTGATAGAGATTACATAAGCACAATGCATGGGTCTTTTGCAGCCTACTGCCGATAGAGATTACATAAGCATAATGTACATGTATCATATTGATTGGTGTAAAATTGCAACTACAAAATTAAATGATGTTGCCACATTAGGTTCCTGCTGTGTTTCCTTCTTTTATGGCAATGGGTTCAGTAGATTTCAAGGAAAGCAAATGAAGGTACTTACAACTGTTGCTCTTGCAGCATTGCTTAGGCCCTTTTTTCGTACTGGTATGGAAGTCCTTGAAGACTTCTACAGCATTAACATCTTCATCAGGTCGACCATGTTGTTCAAGTCCTGGATCATCATGTTGTTCATCAAGTATTTGATCGTGTTCTGTGACCTTCCTCTTGTTCTCCTTCTGTTCATATGGCACATGAGTTTCTGTTTATATTTATACAAAGGCAAGAGTAACAATAAAATACAACCATCACTTATAAATGTTTGCAGCTGGACAACATAGGAGCGAGATCCTATAGACTGGTGGTACTTTATTTTTGCACGATTTCGCTTGTTCGTCTCAGATGTTTGCTATAGCTTCATTTATATTAGACTGCAGCACAAGTAGACCATAGCAAGACTAGATAGGAAATCTATGGGTTCACACACACCTTGTTCTTAGCACTAGACCAAGTCTCGACAAGTTCACACCACCGTGCATCGCTCATGCACGGGACAGGAGAGGTCGTACGGATCTGATTAGCAGGGACGCCATTGAAGTAGGTTTGCTTCAAGCTGTAGCGTGCCTGCCATACCCCACACTACAATACATTCTAGCAAGCTTCTTGTGTTGGTGAGTGAGCCTTGTCAATATCTAGCCTTGACTGCACGTAGTAGTGTGAATAAAAAGTAAATCTGTTAAAGTTGCTCAAAGCAGAGTTGAATGTCAAGAGAGGATACCCATATATACAGTTAGCCTCTCCACAAAATTCCTGTAATGGACAACACCGGAGGGCTTCTTGTAATGTTTCTAATGTGTCAAAATTGGTATTTGATGCCTGACTACTACACCTGTCTCTAAGGCAAATTTGGCAGCTTGCACTGAATCATGTGGCCTTTTGTTCCCCTCAGCAACAGAGATGGGCATCCTCAATCCTCCCATTGATTTGCTCATTTTGTTAAGCAAAATTCCATGAGTTCAAGGCCTCGGCTTCCTCACACTTCTTGGCAATAGTACTACAAAGTTTTTATATATTTAGATTGTTAGAAAAATAACATGGATATCAAATAGCAATTGTGAATTGATTGATAGACATATGTAAGGTAATACCAACCTAGGCAACTTTCATTGTTTTGCGGGTGAGTGGAGACGGGAGTTTGCTCAGAGGGCTCCTCTTCGGCATGGCTATCATCATCTAGCCATGGGTAGTCTCTCACAGGGCTAGGTAGCTCAGAGGGCTCCTCTTTGGCATGGCTATCATCATCTGGCCGTGGGCAGTCTCTCATAGGGCTAGGTAGCTCAGAAGGCTCCTCTTCGACATGACTATCATCATCTGGCCGTGGGCAGTCTCTCATAGGTCTAGGTAGGCCACCGTCCTGACAAATGTCTCCAGTCAATTCATGAAGTTTGAATTGATCACTGGGTACAGGTGTCCGTGGTGATGGAGAATTATGTTCACCTACTGCTGATACCTCCACCCTTTTGCCAGCGATAGCCCTTCGAGTATGAACTCCAAGAGCAAACTCTCCTGGTCGTGTTGAATTCAACCGCTTGGAGTGC